CATCACATCAACAAGTCACGGAGCTCTCTTGCCCGACAAGAACCATAGCCAAAATCTAAGTTGACTAGTGACACTGTTCTTCCAAGCATACCTTAATCAAATCCGATGACACTCATTTCAGGCCCAATAACTTTACCTCATCCAATACAAGCTGCTCTACCAACATGCCACACCAATCCTACCTAGAGCCACATACCATGCAATCCGTGCACCAAACAAGCGACAACTCGAATGTTCCCAATGATGGAAAGAAATCAAATGAGAGAACCGCCCCGCAAGCTCAGCATATACCACCACGAAGCGCAATGCTATGAACCCATCACACAACGATGAAACAAAACACGAAATAAGCACAAAGGATCATATTCCAACATAACTCCGCTGCGATGCGTAACCCAATCCAAACACCGGTTCACATGGAATACGTCGAGCCATGATGCTCACAATCAACAACCATATGCATATCAACAACAAACACGCGAAGCGCATGACCATACCATGGAGATACAGATATCACTATATACCACAAACTGGAAGACCATAATCATGGCACAATCAACCATTCAACACCTCAAGAGCCATCTCGCTCGAATTTCACCACAAAGCCCAAACATAACCACATCATGTGTGTAAATAGTCAACAATCTCATAACTCATCGTGGCATAGAAAGGTAACACATGGAACACATTAGAACACGAATAAGATCCACTCCGACCGATAACACACCCCTCCACAATAACTGTGCTGAGTAGACAAATCCAACTCGATGTAGAACATACATTCTCGTTAGGCCTACCAGTGGCCTCCAAATCAATTCCGATCCTCCCGAAATAGGTAGATAACCTCCGAAAGCCCACAATAACATATCCATAGCACACACACTCAGTCGTCAACCTCTTAACATGCCTTTATCGTTCAGTCGTTCACAACCATGTAACAATCTGCCTCTGAGAACCCTCTTAGTCTTCAAATCCTTAGAATACCAGAATCTCCATATCCGATCCCAACTACACTACCTAAATGACTGACACATTCCTCATACACGATCATTCCACGAGAAATACTTCCATAATTCTTATGTCACATAGCAAAATCTAACATTAGCAGTCGATCAATCAGGCGATTACCGTAATACCAGTAGGCATCCGCAAGTCGAAGCACAGTGCGCACCTTTCTCAAGTGGTATCAAATAATGCTAGCATTCTTCTAAACATCTGAAATCGTCCATGCTATCTAGAACTCGTGACCTCATACATTAGAAAAATCATAACATGCAACATGTTCCTTATGCCGGTAGCAGACATCCGGCTCAAGCCGGGGTCGACACTATCAAGAACTCTTCGAAACCCGCCCGCTCATAACCAAGCCATCATAATTGAATTTCCCCAGCTCAACCAAGTTATGCAAGCCGTCAAACCCAAGAGTATTGCCACAAAACACCAGTAAAATATCACCACACCAAAGGAATCAATAACCTTTATTACAATGTTGACCCTACTCCACCAAGCTGACCCATTTCTTCGAATCCTCCTCGACTTGCCTTCAAGTTTAACACTTCTTCTTGCCGGTACACTACGATCCTAAACCAAAGATCACCGCAAGAGATCCTGGCACGAACCACGTCGTCCGAAAGCCTATAAATCACTGTATTTCCTTTGAAACACCCAATAATGCCGCAACCAAGATATCCACTCTGAAGAGACCTTCTGTGAATCTGAAAGATGTTTCTCTAACATCTGATACTGAAATGTAAAATTAATAATGACACGGAAATACTGCAAGTCTCAGTACTATCCCATGCAAACCTCAGATCTTAGCCATATACAATTTCGGGGAACCCTCTCATACCACATATATACCTCAGACCAAAACTAATATAACACATGACCATGCAATCTAATCGTCGATAGCAGACTCCCCCACTTGGCGCGAAGCCATAGGACACAACATCCAGTGATCCACAATACCAACAACCTTCATAAGCTCGTATAACATCAATCATAAGATACCTCAAATCATTTACTAAGCGCATATCCATCTTCGTGACAGTCAAGTTTGTTTCCTCAAGTGCCTCGAATGATAATATGTACCTTCCACTGAATAGAAGTCCCATACAAAATACATAACCTCTAATACCATTGACTACCTCAAATCAACATTCTCCCATGACCCTACCACGATCATAACAACTAGGCAATCAATTAAATCCTCCCTAGCTCGTACTCACCAACCAAATACCAGAACCCGCTGCATCCCACACGTGAACAACTGGAAGATCTACCAACACATCCGCGTCCTCAGTCTAGAGACAATGATCGAGCATCCATAGCCCCCTTCTAGCCCATCCGCAGCATCACAAACCGTCGGTGCTTAGCTGATACCCAGTGCGCAACATCATATATGAGTGAATGTTAAAGAATATAAGATATACGTATCAAGCTGAATCAATGCCGCACGATAAGGAATGAAAGAAGTGGAATTTCTTAATAGTTCCGTAGCCTCTCGAAGATGAGCACAGACGTCTCCGTACCAATCGCAAGACTCTACTAAACTTGCTTATGACTCATAGAACCTATGAACCTAGAGCTCTGATACTAACTTATCACGACTCCAAATCCCACCTCTAGGATCGTGATGACACCTAGTCTCTAAGACTAGATAAGGCTAACACATGCTGACATTAACAGATTAAATCCAATTAACTATTAATCGAAAACGGATAAGTGACATAGCATAATCAAAATGACCAACAGTAACATATCCCAAAACCGGCAGTATAGAGTCCTAAGCTCTACTGAGAGTAAACTAGGAATATCAATTACATCGCTGTTTTGGAATGAAAGTAAACAGTAGTAAAGTAAAGCTCCAGAAGGTGCCTGCGAGCGTAATGGCAAGTATACCTTGAAGTCCGCAGCAAATCTCATATAGCTAGCTAACGTCTGGCATGCTCCGAGGTACCTGGATCTGCACAAAAATGTGCAGAAGCGTAGTTTGAGTATGCCACAATCGGTACCCAGTAAGTATCAAGATTAATCTCGGTGGAGTAGTGACGAGGTTCGAGTCAAAACACTCACTAGACATAAAAACCTGGGCAAGTATATCAATATAAAGCAAAAATGAATAGATAAGTGACAATAAAAGTAAGCATAACATATGATGAATCAATTAAGGAAAACAAATGGCAGTTCAACTAATCAAGCCATACCAACAAGAATCACCCCGAGGTACCACACCTCATAATCAAATATCACTAGTCACAACTCTTCCTTATAACGTCGCGTGAGCTTTACATTTATTTTAAAAATATTTTTCCCGAAATAGCTTCATGCGCTTTAGCCCCATTATCTCGCCGTGTGTGCTTCAAAATGAAGTAATTCCCCTTTCTAGAAACACGTGCATAAAACCCCTTATCTCGCCGCATGCGCATCAATATCACCACCGCATGCGCATCTCATTACAACACAATAATCAACTCGCACCACACGTGCCCATATGCCACAATATAGCCAAAACAACAATACCAATATCACAACAATGTATAGCCCACGGCTCAACAATAATGTATACAAGAGTTTCAACAACACAATAAAACGGAAGAATAAACTCAACAATGAAAGATATTCCATGTAATAACAACTTCAATTAAATGCATATAAGTAACCTAAGAGTTTAAATCGGTCAATTCCACATATAAGCCCGTGCACACACTCGTCACCACATATAAGTTTTTTTAGTGTGTGTTTATCATATATAGAAAGGCTGCTAAAGTAATTTGGGAGAAGCTCATGCTTTTGAAAAGAATGGACAGGTTTAAACCAAAATCTAAGTTGCTCAGATATGGCAGTTTAGGTGCCGCACCCGTGACAACACAACACTAGTATGGGTGTGGATATGGGATCAATGCCGGATCTGCTCAGACAATTTTTGGTACTTTGACCACGATGGACGGAAAAATTCGAGACGAGAGACAATTTGATTCCCGAAATCAGAACAAAAAATAGGGTAAATTGAAGAAAATAACATACCTTATCTAGAAAATCAATCCTTTATTTATCTACAATAATAACAATAAACACAGTGGAGTCCTACAAGTGGGAGTCTGAGGACGATAGTTTGTACACAGAACTTAGCCTACCCTTAGGAGGTAGAGAGGCTGTTTCCGGTAGACCATCGACTCAAGAAAATGAAAAGCAACAATAGAAACTAGCAGTATCAACCACAAAGGCCAGAAAGCAAGTATTCCACAAAATTTCTAAACTTGAGAATAAAAAAAGAAATCTACACTTTGCAAGCTATACGTAAGCATTTCACGAAATTTCTCATAATTTAGAGATATTTATATTTATATTTGTTTGAATTATTTTTAGCTGGGGGCACCCGCATCAATACTAGTAGTATCCCCGAATCTTAGAATTTACATCTCAAAGAATCCGACCTCTAGATCCGTACCCATGTCGGATACTTGTACCCGTTTTCGAGCAACTTAGACTAAAATTATTATAGAAAATAAAAAGGCTCGCGAACATGATGAGTGGAGCTTCTTTGTTGGATTGCACTTCAAAAAAGGCTAGTCGCACAGAGGAAAAATCTGAGCTTGCTTGAGTAGATTGTGAGCTGGCTTCGCTTCCATCCCATCATAGTTGCCATCATAGTAGCAATCTATTTTGCCATGATTGATATGGAATGCTAGTACTTTAATGGAATTGTTACCAATGCTTACTGAAAGCCTCAGTGATCATCTTATTGAGAACTTTGAGAAAAGGTCAAAAAATGATTACCTTGTTTTCACTATGCTTTATAACCTTCAGCCTTAAGTGCCTAATACAAACAACAAAAAACCCATTATAGTCCCACAAGTGGGGTCTGGGGAGGGTAGTGTGTACGCAGACCTTACCCCTACCTTGAAGGCAGAGGCTTTTTCCAAACATAAGTGCCTAATATTGTCTCAAATTTAAGTACTCTTTTCTTTTCCTAATTGCTTTCTGGTGCTTAATGGTAGGATGCTAGCAAGAAATCTCCCATGGAATTGATCAATGAAGTTCCACCTATCAAGGTTGAGGGTAGGATTGCTGCCTGCGAAGGAGGTAATTTGAGTATCATTTCTTTTCCAAAAATTTAATATCATTTCTTCTTGAAAATGTGCTTTCGATAACATATACTGCTTCCACTTGCCCCTAAAAAATAAGGTAATTACTGCTTCCGTTACAAGTTTAAATTTGTGTAAAAATGCTCTTATATATTCTGGTGCAGACACTCCTGCTCTTGGGCACCCAATTGAGTTTATTTGCCTTGATATGAACGAGCCAGCAGTGTGCAAGTATTGTGGGTTACGCTATGTTCAAGATCATCACCACTAGGGTCTGCGCAATGGAAATTCCTGAACTTTACTTTTATATGCAAGTGGCAGAGATTACATTATTCATTTGTACTATTGATACTGGCAGTGTTCCTTCTTCTAATAAAGGATCAGCTTTGACATGTAATACAGATTCCTTTTAGCTGTTGCGCTTCAACATATAGTTTAGTTCCCTTTGATTGATTTTTCTGTTGATTGCAAATTCTCTTATCCTTTGCACTCACGCTGCAAACAGTCCTAAAACAAAGACAAGGTTACAATGCGCAACTTCTTTCATTTTTTCCCAGGATGTAGTTCTCACTCCCATATCTTGTAATCTCTAATTTTTTGCTGCATGAAGTACATTTTGCAAAATGGAGACGACTAAACAGGGATAATACAAGTGTGGTGTGATCTAGGGACGTCTATAAGAAGCCATAATTTCCCTTTTACAACTTGCAAGCAGCCAAGGAATAGTTCTAAAATGTTGGAGGAAGCTCACACCCAATTTTTGGCTCTATAGTCTCCCACTTACAAGCAGGTCGTCTAGGTTCATTTTTTCTACGGAATCTACCAGTTATGTCCATTTATAAGTAGTTTATTACAAAAACTGGCAAATTCATAAAATATTACTAATATTAGTCAAATATTACTAATATTAGCCAATTAGCTATTTGTAGAAAAAAAAAGGTCAAATATTTGCGTTCTTTTGAGTGAGTGTTATTAGAATAGGCTGGGTTTATCTTAAGGAGCTTGAATCTCAGTTATGGGATGATTTGGTGGAGTTTTGAAGTGGTTTGAATTGAAAATTCGAAGTCGAAGATGAACATGAAAAAAAAATGATATGTGTATCACATTGTGTATCATTTGTGTATCACATATGTATCATATTTGTATCACATGTATATCTAGAAATTTTTTTTGAACTCGATTTTAACTACGAATTTTGATACCAAATCAGTCAAAATCACCTCCAATCTTCCTCAAATTTTGTATTTTGACTAATCTATATGTTTTCAATAAATTTCAACCGTACCAATTGAAAAAGGTCATTTTTTGCTTAGATTTTTGGAATCTTGTATATAATTTTTTTTTATTTCATCATCTTATTTGCTACTTCATCCATGAAATTTTCTTTTCGTCTTGCACCTAATGTTGCTAGTCATGCATATAAATATGGAAGGAGATCTGTGTGTGTGATTCTTGGAGAGAAAGAACCTCATTTATTTGGGTTTTCAATTTTTATGTGCTTGACTAGTTTTGGTAAGTCTATAATTAATGGCTAGAGGTTGGTAAGTTGAGACTTATTTGGGACATTCCTGTAAGATTTTCCTTTTTCTAATCTGTCGAATTTTGATCATTTCCACGCTGCTGCAGATGAAAATAAATAAGGGATTTTTTCGTTCCTATACAATATTTAAAACTTATTTACCAAAATTGTTCTAATTTTGTATATTACCCACCCTAAACAAGGATTACTTATATATTATTTACATTCCACCTTAAAAGGTTTCAATCCATTATTAGTGCCTTCAATCAAGGGATTTAGTTACACCCTTTTCCTTTTTTCTCTCCTCTCTCCCCTCTTCTCTCCAGATGGAACTTATATTTAATTATGGAAACGGCCTAGTTGGATGAGAAGATTCGTCATTTGGTCCCAGCTCCCAACGGTCCCCTGTTATTGCCATGAAAGTACTATCCATTAGGCAACCGTTCAGTTGAAGTTGGAAGATAATGTTTTTCCAGAAATTTCTTTTACCCCTTTCTATATGGGAATAAGATGAACCATCAATTTAGTCAATACTTTTACCAGAAATAATAGGGAGGCATTGTCACACTTGAACATAGTGTAAACGAGGCATAGTAAGTATAGTAAGAAGGTAATATCTCCAAAAGCAGGCGACGAAAAATCTACATCGAATGTTGCAGCTGAACAAAATTTAGTATCTCCTCGCACTTCAGAGAAGATAAAATCAACTGAGAAAAGAACAATATATGGTACATCAACATACAAATTTAAAACAAATTTCGTACAAATTTAATGCAAATTTGAATATCTACAACAACATACATAGTAAAAATAAATTTCATACAACTAATTATATATTATATAATTTATTTACAACTTATCTATAACTTTCATACATTATTTCTACCCAGTTAAATACAACTATAATATTATACAACTTAAATATATTTTTTATACAATATGTCTTTGTATATATTTTGTATCTGATTTGTATATATTTTGTATCTGGTGTGTGCTTCTTCCTCTCTAAAATTTCAATCAAAACTTACTATCTTGATACAATTTTGATACATATCAACAACTTTATGTAAAAAGATAGTATTGATAACTTAAATACAAATTTTATATAACGATTCATACATTATACAACTATTTTTCAACTTTCATACAATATTCAAATAAAAATATATATATAACTACAACAGAATATAATTTACATACAATTATAATACAACTTTACTACAATTTCGTAAGTATATTGTATGTCATGTGTTCTTCTTCTTCTTCTTCGAGTTTCAATCTGAAATTCAACCAAAATCAAGTCTAATCTTCATCAAAATACCCTCAAAATTAGATTTCAAAGCTTTTTAATGGCTGTCAACGGTAGAGAGTCAAACACCTTCAAAAGTTATTAATTGACAATTTCAATTTGAACACCAATTGTGCAACATGAAAGAAAATTGCTACGTTAAAACGATTGAAATCCATTGATGAATTCCATTATAACTCTATACAACAAGAAAATATAAAAAAAACAAAGAACATCAAATGAAGAAAAATTGGGGAAAAAACAGAGAAGGAGAGAGAGAGAGAGAGAGAGAGAGAGAGAGAGAGAGAGAGAGAGAGAGAGAGAGAGAGAGGGCAAGTATAAAGGGACAAGGAAATAACTTATATTCCTTATTCAATTCCTAATATAAAAGAATACTCATTTAAAACTTATTTGTATATAATTGGTAAATTGTATATGATCATGTAATTAAATTGAAACTTGAGTAGGGAGGGTAATAATGTTTCAAATAGCGTATAGGAAGGTAAAAATAACAAATACTTGTTTTACAAACTTATTTCCGTAGGCATTCTTCAACCTCCAATGGGCCTCAACATCATCCCCTCTTCAATCAAGAAAAGATTCAGTTATGTACCATCAAATACCCCAAATTGGAATTACAAACCAAACCATGTCTNATATATATATATATATACCGGCCCTTATTTGGGAGGGCAGCCCAATAAGGTAATTATCCTTATATACATATGGCACAGTAGCCTAATAGTCTCCTAAACTTGCACCATATTTTAATACCGATATAAACTTTTGCCTTTTTCATTGAACCATCTCTACTCGATGAACTAAGTACTAATAAGTACCTCGGCATGTTGACCATGGTTATTTGGTAATCACAACACTGATGTAGCCAAATGCGTTTCTATCATGCTCATAAAGGAGCATGCTGGTCATTTCAATAAAGAAAATACTAAAATAAGGAAAAATTAAATTTTAAAAAAATACCAAAATTTAAATGGAAAGGGATCAAATACGCCCATCTCATATGCGAAAAGGATCGATTTTATCTTAAGTAATACTTTTTGCACAAAAATACCATCATTGTTACCTAAGTGGCTCAAATATTTCTCCTCGTTTGTTAGAGTTGTACATGTTTACCCTTAAAAATGAGTAACAATTTAATTTGTACGCCGTTTAAAGGACACGTGATTTAATTTAATACGAATGATATAAAAACAACAAATAATTAAATTAAAGAGAGAATAAACGATCAAACCAATCGTGATGGAATGATCAAACCTGGTTTTAAGTTGAACACTGAAAACTGGCTCCGATCGAGCCCTAGATATGAGCTCGGTTGCAATTAAAGAAGATGGTAACTGAAGAACACTTTGAATATTAGCTAGAAGACAAAAATAAACTTTTATTACTTTGATGTGCATGTCAATAGTGGTTTTAAAGGAAAAAAGTTCTCCCCTTTATATAGTAGGGGAGTTTCAATCCTAATACAAGCCTAAATAAGGTAAAATCTTCTTTTCTCGGTAAATATCGATCCGCAGTTGATATCAGATGGGATTGCGCCGTAATATCCAATTGAGGGCAAATATTTCGGCTCCTTGCTCGTCATGTTCAACCGTTTCTCTTTTTCCTTGGTCTCAAAACTTTACTTGATCCGAATCCGTTGTTCAGCGGTGCCCGATCCTAGATGCACCGTTCATTCCCCCTGAGCTCCGAAACGAGGGACCCTTCGGCTTCGCTCGAGGTTGCGTCAGATCATGCTTCCCTCTCATTTCTTTATTGGGGAATCGAGGGTAACATTATCCCCGATTTTACCCGTACACAGTTAGTCCCCTCACTTTTTGGAGAGCAGATTTATCGAAGCGACGAGAAGTGATTAATTGACCCCGGTTCCTTCTTTCGTACGCTACAATTGGGTCGACGGGTCAGTGAAACATTCCATCAGTCGCATTGTTCTGAGTTTGGTCACGTGTCAGCCGCCGGTTGACCATTCTCGAATGCGAAACGTCACGCATTAATTACCTCTTCTCTATAAAAGCTTCTGTCCTTTTTTCACTTTTTTTACTTTCCGATTCCATAACATCTTAATTTACCCCCAAACTTTTCACTTGCTCTTAACCCTTTCAAATCTTCACACATTGTTCTTCATATCCTCATATCTTCATCTCCCCATCTTCAAATTATCATACTTCATCCTTGAACATTTAAGTTTGACCTTCAAATCTTCATCCTCATCTTCAAATCTTCATACCCGCCTTCATACATTCATATTTCCCAGAACTCGATGGCGAAGTCTTTGAAATTTGTGTCCCAACAGACCGTCCCTTCAACTTCTAACCCGGCTACGAATGCTGAGGTGGCCGTACCTGAAGTGGACCGGAACCTCCTCTAAAGAATTAATCCCGAAGGTTGCTCTATAGAAAACGATTTCAAGGTCGAAAACGCTTCCAGGCAAGGGGATCGATGCGAGGAGGTGTAGAGGTACATATGCTCCATCACCGAGGACACGCTCCCTATGGTTCGAGATGACTGCAAGTGGGAGGGCAAATAAGTGATCGTCCTTGGTCTTGATGAGGATATCACCACACATGTGGATGGGTATCTAAGTGTTTACACATACCCCTTCACACTTGGCCCGATGGATACCATAGT